AGGGCAGCTTGGACTTCTTCCTTCAGTACCTTCAGTTCCTGATCATATGCTACCTCCTGAAATGGTTGAACATCAACCAATTCGTTTTGGTACAGTGATTCTATGTATTCCTTCCACCTTCTTTTGATGCCTCCTGCATCATTCAATATATTGCCCATAAAATCTTTCAATACTGCAACTCGAGGCTTGAATTTTCCCTTCAGTTTGTTCAGTTTGAGAAATGCCAAGCGTGTTCTTCCCTTTTGATTTTGTAACTCCAGGTCTTTGCATATTTCATTATAATACTTTACTTTGTCTTCTTGAACCCCCCTTTGAAATCTTCTGTTTAACTCTCTTACTTGGTCATTTCTTCCAGTCACTGTAGCTACTCTACATATAAGAGAAAGTTTCAGAATGTCTTCTGTCATCCATTTTGGTCTTTTCTCTCCTTCATCTCTTTTTAATGATCTTCTGCTTTTTCTCATGTATGATGTCTGTGGTGCAACAAATTACTTAATATGGCCCTTCTAGCCATAGTCTGTGTAACTCCCACCAAATGTTTGTGTGGAACTAGGTTAATAACGTATATGGAACACTAATGAGGGGATTGGTCAGTTTTGAAATCCTGTTAGGCTTAAAATGAGTTGTCCCAGTACCAGGAAAAGAGAATCTCATCACCACCAAAAAAGAGAAGCCGGGAGTTGAGTGTGTCCTTTGGACCCAGGATCACTGTGCTGAGAAGCTCCTGGAACCAGGAAACGGAAAAAGAGAAAGAGAGACAGAGAGAAATGGCAGCAGGAGAGACTGGCAGGATAAGGAGTAGTGGGCTTCCCTGCCCACAGCACAATAAAGCTGAGTGCCTTCAGGCAGGAGTCTTGCTAGCAGAATAGGGTGCCTCTGGACACTGGTGGAACTAGGTTTGCTGACCCATGGAGCTAGATCTGAGTGCCTTTGGACTGATGCTTATTGGCGGAATGGGTTGCCTCAGGTTACTTATCATCAGAGCTAAAACTGCTTTGAAATACTTGCCTGAGCTGAGCAGTGGCCAAGGGGAAAGAGAGAGGCATGCCTGCAGGCACGGCTGACAAAAGGCTGTTCTGATTGGAGAACTGTAACCTGCGCATTCTTGAACCTGAACTATAACCTGTTACTTCCCTAATAAACTCCATAACTGTGAGTATTGTCTGTGAGTTCTGTGTGGCCAGCCATCACAGTGAATTATCGAACTCAGCAGAGAAGTAGAGAGTTCTGTGGAGGGACCACTGGTGTCAGAATTGGTAAAGGTGGCAGAGAGAGCAGGCATGTCTGACCTCTACCTCATAGGAATCAACTTGGGCTGTTGATCTTCATTCTCCTTCCCCCTCATGAAGTTAGAATGTCAGACCCCACTGCCCTCCATTTTTACAATGCCCTTGATGTCATCCCACAACTCATCTGGTCTTCTGTCATTAGTGTTTAATGTGCCAAAGCTATTTTTGAGATTGTCTTTCAATTCAGGTGGGATATACTTAAGGTCATACTTTGGCTCTCATGGACTTGTTTTAATTTCCTTTAGCTTCAACTTGAACTTGCATATAAGTAATTGATGGTCTTTTACACATTTGGCCCATGGCCTTGTTCTGAGTGATAATATTGTGCTTTTCCATCATCTCTTTCCATAGATGTAGCCAATTGGATTCCTGTGTGTTCCATCCTGTGAAGTCCACCTGCATAGTCACTGTTTATGTTGTTGAAGAAAAGTATTTCCAATGAATAGGTCATTGGTCTTGCAAAATTCTATCCTGTGATCTCCAGTGTCATTTCTATTAACAAGGCCATATTTTCCAGCTGATGATCCTCTTTCTTTGTTTCCAAGTTTCACATTCCAATCACCAGTAATTATCACTACAATGTGGTTGGTGAGTGAATTTGAAACATAGTCCCTTGTAGGAGTATGGATATTATCTTATCACTGACAGCATTTTACTTCAGAATAGATCTTGAAATGTTCTTTTTGATGATGAATGTGATGGCATTCCTCTTCAATTTGTCATTCCTGGCATAGTAGACCATATGATTGTCTGATTCACAATGGCCAATACCAGTCCATTTCAGCTCACTGATGCCTAGGATATCAATCTTTATGCGTTCCATTTCATTTTTGAAAACTTCCAATTTTCCTAGATTTATATTTTGTACATTCCATGTTCCAATTATTAATGAACGTTTGCAGCTGTTTCTTCTCATTTCGACTCATGCCAGATCAGCAAATGAAGGTCACAAAAGCTTGAGTCCATCCACATCATTAAAGTTGACTCTACAGCTTTTCCCCAGTCATATTTTGAGTGTCTTCCAACCTGAAGTGCTCATTTTCTGGCACTATATCAGACAATACCTGCTGCTATTTATAAGGTTTTCACTGGCTAATTTTTTTTTTTTTGGTAGAATCAGATGGTGAAGCACTTCTTCCTAGTCTGTCATAGTCTGAAAGCTCAGCTGAAACCTGTCCATCATAGGTGACCCTGTTGGTATTTGAAATACTAGTGGCATAGCTTCCAGCATCATAGCAACATACAGGCCTCCACAGTACAACAAAATGACAGACAGTGGTGGACCATAGTAAAAGTTTAATGGTAGCTATCATTGGTATTGGAGCCCCGGAGGCGCAGTGGTTAAGTATTTGGCTCTAACCAAAAGTTCGACATTTGAGTCCACCACATGCTCCTTGGAAACCCTATGGGGTAGTTCTACTCTGTCCTATAGGGTCGCTTTTAGTCAAAATCGACACAATGGCAATGGGTTTGGTTTTAGATTTTGATATTTTTGGCATTAATATTATTAGATATCTAAAGCATTCCCAGACATAAGATAGCATTTGTTCTACTTCAAACTTTGAACCTCTGCTGTAAATAGGCAAAGGGGAGCATAAAGCCAACACTAACTATCTCTTCTCAACTTTGTAGAGGTAAATAAATGGAGGCCCCTGAATGTGAATCAGTTCCTGATTTTAACATCAACATTGTTATAAAGTTTTCTCCTATTGTTAGCGATTGAAACTTGATATTTTATTCTCATTTATACTCTCAATTTTCAGAAAATTATTTTGTGTATTTATTGGGGGGGGCACTTTTTAAGTTTTCTCAAATATAAATTTTATTTTTAAATTTAGTTTTAATTATAGTTATTAAACTAATGAAATAAAATTGATCTAATAGTCCCATTTGCTAACATAAACCATTTACTATGACCTGGTAGTCATTGGGCCAGACACTATAAATTGCCTGTATAACAACCACCTCCCTTTCTCTTCCCTGCTAACAAAACCATCATTTTTTTTAGCATCCCACAAGTTTCAAGGTAGAATGAACCCTCCCCAGTCACAGTGGTAAATCTTGATGAGACCAAATCAATAACGGCAAGTCTATCCCCATAACCCATAGCTGATTTGGAATATGTATATAAAAGATTTCCAAACACCGAGCTAAGTCAAGAAGTCTGACATGGTCTACCAGGAGTCCTTGATGAGGTCCTGCATCACCAACCAAGGACCAGCCTGGAAATGACTTGCCACTGTCCTTCTCATTTTGAAATAATCAATGGTTTCAATATATAAGCCATTCTGGGTTAGGTCTTTGGTTATATGCTTCTGTAAAATATTATAACTGATATATATTAAATATTTAATTTGCCTAATTTTATATGTCTTTTATATTATTATTCCCGTATTAAATATAAAAACACTGAGTCAGAGGGAGGTTAGATATATTTCTCAAGGTTATATAAATACAAGGTAGAGTTAGATAGGACGCTGTCTCCAATTATTTTAGAAGGTACTCTACTCACCATTACTGACCCCCCACATTGGGTAACCTATGTATACTGAAGTGGGTACAGTTCCATAAATTGGAAATGAGACACAGATCATTATTATTCCCAAGCTGAGGTTTATCAAGGCAATCGGGATCTGGACAACCTAGAAATGACAAAAGTAAAAACCAAGTATCTGCCACAGAAATGGTACCCAAGCCAACCTTCCTCCAACCACTGAGTTACTTTCTTAATTGTTTGAAATAGTCAGATGTGCTTCTTGATATTCTCTTGTCAATTTTTTTCCATATAAAGAACTGTGAATATAGTAACTTACCAAAATTATCTCTTGGGATATCTGTCTTTGCCCCAAGAATTTCAAATTGAAAAAAGACGGTGCCAGGACCTGCTCAGAGACACTGTACCCATGTACCGGTATCCATGATGCTACTGCTATGAAAACTATTGCTCTCCTTTGTCACATGCCCAGCCAGGGGAGAAACAGGAGTTAAAAAAAAGTCTTCTAGCAAGGATAAGTGACCTGAAGGAAGGAGAGGCCCTACAGGGAAAGAAGAGAAAAGAGCATATATGATACGTTCTTGGGGTATGGGACCTGAGGCCATGACCGTGAGGACAGAGGTCAAAAATTAAGGATGTTTGAGTACAGTTGTCCTGTGACATTGAAAACTATTCAAAGTGTCCACAATGACTTTGTCCCAGTGCTTTAAAGCCAGAGCTACAGATTAAACTTTTATACTCACTGTCCTTCCACTAGCACTAACCTGTCTTTCTTTACACCCTTCATTACTTTCAGGAAAATCTACTTAAGAATCCAGAGGAGAAGTGCACAGATGATATAAGAGTTTTCATCATCTGAAGAGCAAGACAGGCTGAGAAAGTAACACAGAGAGAGATACTAACAATTGGCAGCCATCAGGTATCAGGAAGGCCTGTAGAGGGGACCATCTAGTCCACACTTGGCCTTTTCTTTTGCTGCTCTTCCATGGGAAGTTAAATATATTTATCATGGATGACCTACAAGGATTAGAAGCATGATGTTATAAACTATTCTGCCTTTTTTTTTTCAAGTGATAGGGCCTGAATATCAAATACTGCCGTCCCAAAGATAAGTTCATGTGATATGAGGCTTGTAGGGGAGAGTATTTATCATTAGGTATGATCAGTTTTGAGTTTATAACATCATTGACCTTTTCCCATATGTACACCTGACTTACCCCGAGGTACCTGAGTACCCTCTTCAACTTCATACTTGGTTGCATTGATCCTGATGTCAATGAGTTTGTCATGGCAACAAAAAGGTGCTACAATAAGAAATATAGTTCAGTATGAGATCTTGGAAATGACAAGAGAGGAACACTTTGAGGCAGGTTCCTCTGTAAGAAAATCACTGTTCTGCATTCCTTCACTAAGTTATAGCAGCTGTTAGGACATTTCACAACATGTTAAATAGGTAATTTATTTCCACATCCCTTATTTACTCTTTCTTGGGGAGGAAGGAAAGAGCGGACTACATGATTCCTGAGAGCATGATATTCATTTTGCCATGTGGTTAGTGTTTGTGCCTATCTCTCTTTTCCAGTTTATTTCAAATTGTTCAGAAGAGTCAGGGTTGTCTTCTGCTTCCTGCTCTCATGGAATAAACCAGACAGATGAAAAATGGCGTAGGAGTGGTGTCTGACCTCTTCTAACTTCACAAGGTGGAAGGAGAATCAAGATCAACAGGCCAAGGCTGATTCTTATGAGGCAGAATTCAGATATGCCTCCTCTCAGCCATCTTTACCAAATCCAAAACAGATCGTCCCTCCCACAGTATTCTCTACTTCACTGCTGGGTTCAGTAATTCAATGCAATGGCCACAAAGAACTCACAGACAATATTCATGATTATGGAGTTTATTAGGGAAGTAATAGTTACAATTCAGGTTGAGGAACACTCAGGATACAGTTCTTCCATCATGACAGCCTCTTCCTAGCCCTGGCCCTTGGCCTCTCTCCAAAGACATTCAGCTTTCTCCATGGGCTGGGATGCCATCACACTGTCTCTTTTTGCTAGGTCTCTGCTGCCGAGTGCCTGCTGTAGCTTCTCTCTGCCTTCAGTGTTAACAGCTCTCTCCCTCTTGGTTCCATGAACTTCTCAGTGCAGGGATCCTGGGTCCAAAAGACTTGATGGTTCCTTCCTGTTCTTCCTTGGGGTGGTGAGATCTTCTCTCTGCTCTGGAATTGGTTCTCTTTTAAGGCAAAACTGACCTATCCCCTTGTGGGCCACAACTGTCATATTTGTACAGTCTCACCCAATCACTTGTGTTGGATTTACAAGACCATGGCTAGAAAGGTCACAAAAAAGTGACTCATCACACCGCAACAAAGGACTAGGCAAAGGGCAGTGCTTTTCTTTCTATTGCAAACTCTGCTTTGATGATAACCAAGTTTGTAAAGTAGGTTACATATTAAATGCTGTTGAGTAGTGTGATGTTTAAGATTGTATGTCCACTTGGTTGGGCCATGATTCTCAGTGTTTTGGCAGTCATGTGTTGTTGTGGTCAATTTCCTGTTGAGATTTGATATGTGAACACCCCCTTGATGGGATCTGCTGTGAGTAACCAGTCAGTTGAAGGGGAGTTTCTTTGGGTGTGTGGCCTGCACAGAGTGTGGGCAGATGTTCTGGAAGGGGTGGGAGGCTTTTGCTCATTCTGGATCCTGCAGCTGGCTCCTGTTAGTCTGACCTCCAGTTCTTGCACTTGAGCTAGCAGCTTACCTGTGGTCTTGCCTGCTGATCTTGGGATTCATCAATCTTCACAGCCTGTGAGCAACAGCCCTGCTCCCTGACATGCCAATCTTGGGTTTCGCAGCCCCTGCACCTATGTGAATCAGGAGAAGCCTCTCTCCTGACCAACAGACTTGGGACATTACAGCCTCTTCAACTGCATGAGCCACTTCCTTGAGATAAATCTCTCTATGTATATATACTTATATTCTTTGCTGGTTTTGCTTCTCTAGAGAACCCAGCCTAAGACAAGTAGGTACAGGAGACTTGGTAGAGGAGTGGTTAAAGCACTCGGCGGCTAACGAAAATGTCAGTGGTTCAAATCCATCAGATGCTCTGTGAGAGAAAGATGTGGTAGTCTGCTTCTGTAAAGATTACAGCTTTGGAAAACCTATAGGGCAGTTCTACTCTGTCCTATTGGGTCATTATGAGTCAGAATCAACATAATGGTAATTGGTGAGTAGGTGTATTCAGACTGAACTGTACATTTGAGCATTCGCTGGGCAGAATACAGGAGCTAGATTTTAGAGGGGAGTGCAGAATAGATAAGGGCCTTCATTTTGGCCTTAAATCTAACCCACAACCTCTAATCCATTTTGACCTGGAAGAACTGACTCTCTAGTCTTAAATTCAAGTTATTATAATAAAGGTTATAATTTGATCTCCATTTAGCAATTCCTCCCAGAAGGGAAGAGCATTAACTTTCAATTCCAACATTCAAAGAGCTAAACAGCAAATATCTAGCCTTTCTCAAAATTTCTCTTTCAAAGAAAGTAATGTAGCACAATGAGAAGTGTGTAGAGAGGATTATTTTGGATCCCTATAATTGTGCCTAATATAGAGTGGCAAGAGCTACAGGTAACAAAAACCATAAGAGAGTTACAGAAAACTTCGTGTCTTCTCTTAGTGGAAGGACCCATAATTAACTCAGTTGTTCATGTTAAAAACCTAGGAGTTCATCATTGATGCCTTCTATTACTCACCCTCTGTGCCCAGTCATCTTCTTCTGATCCTTCTGATCACAACCAGTTTTCAATTCTGTGCACTTTTCCCACCTTCTCAGACCAAGCCATCATCCTACTTCTTAGGAATATTTCCTTAGCTTCCCAATGTTGTACCATGTGCACTCATGGCCCTGTATGGATAATTCTTTCCCACTCTGTAGTCAGAGTTGTTGTTTAAAAGGAAAAGACAATAGTGTTAAAATCCATTGCTGCAGGTTGATTCTGATTCCCAGTGATTCTACTGGGCAAAGTAGAACTGCCCCACAGGGTCTTCAATGCTGTGAATCTTTAAGCAAGCAGAGTGCCACTTCTTTCTTCCTTGGGGAACAGCTGGTGGGTTGAAACTGTCAACCTTCTGGTTAGAAGACAAGTACTTAACTTCTGTGCACCCAGGGCTCCTGACAATAGTGTTACCCTCTTTAATCCTCCATTGGCATTTCACTGCTCTTAGTATAAAGTTAAAAATTTTAGGGTTGTTGAGAGGAGAACCTCTGCTACTTAGCCTACATCTATTACCCTAACTTACCTTGAATCCCTCTCCTTTTTATTTCCAAAGCCCCAAATATATTTGACTCATTTCAGTTCTTCCAAATCAGTAATCTCTTTCTTATATTGAGGCATTCACACATGTTGAGCATATTGCTAGGAATGTTCTACCCCTTCCACGGCTGCCCTGCAACAAAAACCCACCTCAGCATCTGCTCCTTCTCATTCACTAATGGTATTACATACATTCTGCCTTCTCTCAAACACAAATTCACTCCTCACCAACTTCTTATAAATGGCTTACTCAATTATGATATTGATGGTGGTTTAAGAAACCTGTGTTATTTCTCTCTTACACCCTAGAAGCCAAAATGGTTGTACATGAACTTTTTTTCTCTCAGATGCAAAGGAGCCTCTTTGTTCATCTCTGAGACATACCATCAGAGAAAGGCTTTAGAAACTGTGGGCCCTGTATTATCAAATACCCTTGCTGGTCTTTTTCTATATTAAACAGCTCTCTAGTAAGACTTTGTACTTTGCTGAGGACAGTGATATTATATCCATATGATGCTTCCAAGTGGCTCTGTACTCTTGGTATATTTCTGTCCCACAGGCATCTGTCATTTAGTCATACTATGGAGGCTTGCAGTTTTACTTGATACTGGAAGCTATGCCACCTGTATTCAAATACCAACAGGGTCACCCATGGGGGACAGGTTTCAGCTGAGCTTCCAGACTAAAAGGACTGGGAAGAAGGACCCAGAAATCTACATCTGAAAAGAATTAGCCAGTGAAATCCTAATGAATAGCAGCAGAACATTGTTTGATATAGTGGTGGAAGATGAGCTCCTCAGGTTGGAAGCACTCAAAATAAGACCGGAGAAGAGCTGCTTCCTCAAAATAAAGTTGACTTTAATGATGTGGATGGAGTTAAGCTTTTAGGACCTTTATTTGCTGATGTGGCATGAAGAAAAAAGAGAAGAAACAGCTGTAAACATCCACTATTAATTGGAATGTGGAATGTACAAAGTATGAATCTAGGAAAATTGAAAGTTGTCAAAAATGAAATGGAATGCATAAACATCAATATCCTAGGAATTTTGAGCTGAAATGGACTGTTAGTAGCCATTCTGAATTGGATATACATGTGGTCTACTATTCCAGGAATGACAACTTGAAGAGGAATGGCGTTGCATTCATCGTCCAAAAGAACATTTCAAGATCTATGCTGAAGTACAACACTGTCAGTGACAGTATAACATCCATACACCTGCAAGGAAGACCAGTTAATATGACTACTATTCAAGTTTACACATCAACATCTAATGCCAAAAATGAAGATACTGAAGACTTTTACCAACTTCTGTAGTTTGAAATTGACTGACCATGCAACAAGAATGTATTGATAATTACTGGTGATTTGAATGTGAAAGTTGGAAACAAGGAAGCAGGATCGGTAGTTGGAAAATATGGCGATAGTGATAGAAATGATGCAGGAGATGGCATGATAGAATTATGCAGGAAGAATGACTTCTTCATTGCTAATACCTTTTTTTAACCAACATAAACGGCAACTATACACATGGACCTCACAAGATGGAATACACACTAATCAAATCAACTACGTCTGTGGAAAGAGATGGTGGAAAAGCTCGACATTGTCAGTCAGAATAAGGCCAGGGGCCGATTGTAGAACTGACCATCAATTGCTCATATGGAAATTCAAGTTGAAACTGAAGAAAATTAGAACAAGTCCAAAGTACAACCTCGAGTAAATCCCACCTGAATTTAGAGACCATCTCAAGAACAGATTTGACACATTGAACACTAATGACTGAAGACCAGATGAGATGTGGAATGACATCAAAGACATCATACATGAAGAAAGCAAGAGACCATTGAAAAGACAGGAAAAAAAAAAGAAAAGACGAAACTGGATGTCAGAAGAGACTCTGAAACTTGCTCTTGAACATTGGGTGGTTAAAGCAAAAGGAAAAATGACGAAGTCAAAGGGTTGAACAGAAGATTTCAAAGGGCAGCTCAAGAAG